TGAACCATTTGTAGGACATCAATACAAATGGTGTACAGCAGCTTGAATGCTACAACAGATGCTCGAAGTTTACGCCATCAGACGCCAATCATGCCTGACACCGACGGACCATTTGAATGCGCGAATTATTTCAGCTTTCTGGATCAGGTTCTTCTCGATTTGCTTGACGATGTTCCACCAAATGTGAGGCGCAACAATGTGATTCTAACATGATGGGGCCCCTACTCATTTTGGACTGGATGTTCGTAGCCATTTGAAAAGATCATTCCTGCATCGATGGATTGGGCGTGGTGGACTAGTTCCCTGGCCGCCCCCGCGCTCACCGGATTTATCGAGCCTTGATTTCTTTTTGTGGAAAGCCAACAAGAGTCGTGTATCACGATCCTGTTTTGTCTGAAATGGATCTCGTGGTAAGACTCGCCTGCGCAGCTGCTACAATCAAAGAAACTCCCGGTGTGTTTGAACATGCTCGGTTTCAAACACATAAATGTTTCAAATTAATCACTCTTGTTTCTTTTTCCATCTTCTACCTCTGCTCGGTCGTGGACACTTAACCGACAACCACTTAGCCGACAGGACACTTAACCGACACCAGTTAGCCGACAAGACATTTAACCGACAGGGACATTTAGCCCGACACGGACACTTAACCGACATGTCATTTAGCCGACACGGACAGTTAGCCGACAAGACACTTAGCCGACAAGGACACTTAGCCGACAGGACATTTAGCCGACACGGACAGTTAGCCGACAAAACATTTAGCCGACAGGACATTTTGCTGAAACAGAGAGTTAGCCGTCAAGCCATTTAGCTACGAGACACTTAACTGTCAACACATTTAATCCACAGGACACAAAGCCGACAGTAACGTTTAGCTCACACGTACCCAATAATTATTCAAACTTACTATCAATTACAAAATTTCTCGACTTCTCCATAAGTTCTATCAGTAAATCATAAGTTCTCCATAAGTTCTATCAGTAAATCACTATCAGTAAAATTCATTTTTCGATTCTTAAAGATCTCATATATACTTTTAATTATTGTGTTAATTTAGCATTATTTGATATGTATCCATGGACCTTATAAGAAACAGACCAACCCAAATGGGTTTTCTCCCTTGCCTTGGCGTATTGCCGGCTGTCACCTTGCCCATATCCGGAGGAATATGCAGCGCGTATAATTTTCAAGAAAAAGCTGGGATAGCACCTCATTTCACAAATTAGAATTTTTAGATATTTTTATTTTTGAAACTGAGATTGATTTTTAAAAATTTAGCATGTTTATCAAGCATAATTGATGTTCTAATAAATATTATAAAGCTGTTGCATGCTTTCAGGTCTGGATATTTTTGTAGCTTTCCTATGCTGTAAGGAAATTTGTATCTCCTTCTTTTAAAAGTAAATATTTTAAATCTGAACTAATAGAAAAATTCAAGCAAAAAATTTTCTCTTACAATTTTTATGCTTTTATTGGTATAAATAAGTAAAAAATACTAAAATTGAAAAAAGGGATTTTTGAAAGTTTTTGCTTAAAATTCTTATTTGTACTGCTTTTTTAAAATTATATCTGAATATTAAAGCATAATATTCTACAAAGAAGTTTTATTTCAAAAATATTTCATAATACATTATAGTGATTAACACTTTTAACACTTTAATAATTTTTATGCATTTATTATAAAGTTAAAAACTGTATTTGACTGTAATAATTAATTGTGCTAGTATTTTATAGTGATTATTTTTTTTAATTTATGTCTAGTTCTGCATAAGTTTTCTTATTTATTGTTAATTTATTTTATCAGCCCAAAGAGGCGGCAGCTCAGAAAAGCTATTAGTTTCGAAAAGGCATTTTGCTTTGTTTCACTATAAATGTCCGTTTCACTTTGCAAACTGTTGCCACCAAATATTATCGCCCTGTATTATATTTAAAGAAATTAAATAATGAAGAATCTGCATGAATGCATGTATGTTTCTCTCGCACTGTGAAAAAAACAACAGAATTTAGAACCATAAAATTTTGAATAACGTAATCCTCCACCCGAACATGGGCACCTGCAAGGCCTAATTTCGAATTTGTTTTAATCCATTTCATATTTTGTAACTTTAACGAAGTTTTGATTAACAAACTCAACGAGTTCAAAGCAAGCAATGGCAACCCTGTACAGAAAATAACATTTTTATCTCCAACGCGGAAATTCTAAAGATATGTCATTTTCAAATATTTTGTGATATTGTTCTTGAATTGAATTTTATGTGGTTTACTTGCGAAGAACATGATGTTTAATAAATAAAGGTAACACGCAAAACGTTACAAAAACGCTCCTTTGGGCGTAATATAAAATTATATTGCTGAGTGCTTCCAGAGTTTATCTTTTTTTTTCCTCATTACACTCAAAAACGTTTATGCTCCGAATTTTATGAATTACTAAAATAAATAATCATCTTGTAATGTTAATAATTAATGATCATATAATCAAATAAATGATCGTCTTGTTATGTTATAATAATTTTAAAAACTACTGCCTGAAAATGCTCATAAAATCAAAGAAAATTATCAGATCTTGTTTAATTTTACCTTATTTGTTTCAAAGCATCATATGCTATCAGTATTATTTAATTTTACTTTATTTGTACACAAAATAAGTTCATAAGTTTTGCGTTTAGAATTTTTACCGTTTTACTAAAGTAAAGAAATTTATACAAGAATTACGCTTGAAAAAAATGCGCAAAATGCAATGCAATAAAAATTATTGTTATCCTTGAATTATACTTTTTATGGAAACATATAGTGGTGAAGGTTAGTTTAGCAAATATATTTTATTTTGTTATTAAAAACAATTTTAAAAAAGTGAATTTTTAAGACAAGCAAAGGTATAAATTATTTGTGACCTCTATAATTTGCAGTTCATGCCACCATTCTTGAGATAAAAATTCTGTAACATTTTATTAACCACGCCTCTTGCTTAAAATACTTACTTAGGTGAATGTTTATAGCCCTAAAGTAGGATGTTTAATTTAGAAGTTAAATATTCTTTAAGGTTTTGTTTTATTCATTTTCGAGAAATTTCAGCGCTTTTTCAATTTGGCCAATGTACACCAAACAGCACGATACATATCAAACAATGCTAAATTAACACAATAAATTAATAGCACATATGAGATCTTTAAGAATCGAAAAATGAATTTTACTGATAGGTGAAAAAATGACTTATATATTGAACTTGTGGAGTAGTCGAGAAATTTTGTAATTCATAGTTTAAATAATTTTTGGGTACGTGTCAGTTAAACGTCACTGTCGGCTTAGTAACCTGTTGACTAAATGTCTTGACAGGTAAGTGTCCCGTAGCTCTAAATGTCCTGACAGCTAACTCTCTGTGTCGGCCAAATGTCCTGTCGGCTAACTGTCCGTGTCTGCTAAATGTCCTGTCGGCTAAGTGTCCTTGTCGGCTAAATGTCTTGTCGGCTAACTGTCCGTGTCGGCTAAATGACCTGTCGGCTAAGTGTCCGTGTCGACTAAATGTCCTGTAGGCTAAGTGTCCGTGTCGGCTAAGTGTCCATGTCGGCTAAATGTCCTGTCGGCTAACTGGTGTCGGTTAAGTGTCCCGTCGGCTAAGTGGTTTTCGGCTAAGTGTCACGGACCCACCTCTGCTACCACTCACCCTTGACATTTCCAGGCGTGGGTTCCTATGCAATTCCTAATCCTTATGATGTGCCCTATCTCTTCTAGAGGTTTGCCGCAACATTTACGGTACACTCTGATGTACAACTCTCTCTTGATATGTATTAGGAAAACTAATGAATTATTCTATTATTATGTAAAAATGCTAGTGAAAATGTCTGGACTGAATGTGTACCAGGTATGGTCTGTATAAACGAGGTATAGATTCCGAATAAATATACGTTATGAATATTTTAGTGATAGTAGAACTTAGCGCTCAGCTTAAAAGACGGAATTATATTCCAGAAAGTTCTTGCCCACGAATAAAAGACAATGTTACCACGCAATGTACAGAAATCACAGCCTATTTCCTTATCTTCCTTAGATCTCCTGGAGTAAGCCGAAAATCTTTGAAATGAAGCAGCAACTGCTTGCAATTTTTAAATAAATTAAAGTTCTATAGATAACGTGGCGATTGGATTTACACCCATTGTCTGTATGCACGGATATAAAGTGTGCTAAACGTCCTAAGTCGTAAAACTCCCTTCTAGAGTCTCAAAGATGCATTTTCTGAAAAACTTTCAAAATGCTATCAAGTTGGGAGGAATTTACTTAACGTCACCGAAATGGCGACAAAATTTTGTCGTTAAAACTCGGTAGAGGTAGCCTATATAAATCTTTAAGCTAATTTCGCACTTTCAAGCATTTATTTGTTCAAAATTAAAAATTCTGAAAAATAATACAGGAATTAAATATTTTCGAAAATAATAAGTGGACATAAATGCCTTACGCCTTTCTATTAATGCCAGATAATATAAAGATTATCACAAAATATACTTATTTAATTAATAAAGGAGTACATTAAGTACCCAGCCACACAAAGCACATAGCAAAGCCAGTACACAAATAAAGAAAGATAGTTACACATATTTACAACAATACTATCGTTGCAACATTGCGTTGTAAAATATTACAACAATAATATCGTTGCAACAATACTATCGTCTGCAGTGACTACCGAGCATGTGATTTTTCAGATTGATGAGAATAATTTCAGTCTGCTAATTGTTGCATAGCAGCGCTTTATTTCGCGAATTCGTCAATTCTTTCGTTTCCCGGTGATTTGCAGTGAAGTATTAACTAAAGCACAATACTTTTATGCCATTTCGACAAGTCTGTAAAAATGTTTTGACAGCTTACGATCTGTTGACACCAAATGCTAAACGATGCAATGACCATTTCAAACTGTACTCGTTATTTTTGGAAAATCATCTTGTTTTATCAATTTATGAAACATAAGTAATTAAGTCTTCTAAAGCACTTGTCGGTTTCACTAGGTACGACGTGGACTGAGGAGATTGTATCTCTCATTTACAAAGGGGGTGACGTAAGCAAGGTGGAAAAAGAATTGCTTTTCAATCGTGTCCATCATCTGGAGGTAGGACGACCGATTGGTCATCTTCGTTTCCTTCAGAAGCTGCGATCGCCTCGGCTCATGGCTACCCATTTGCCTCTTCCATTACTACCTCGACAGCTACAACGAAAGCCCAAATGCAAGGTGAGTGCTTATATCACTACAATAATGCCGTCGTATTCGAGTATAATATGCTTAAGACCTGCTGGAAATGTGTGAAAAAAAGGATAAAACCATATACTGTATGACAGTTTCGAGGACCTTTTCATACGATATCCGTTTTGCCTAAATCATTACTTTAAATGGTATTTTTATGTTAGGAACGTTCTTAATTAAATATTTGCAATAATTTTTGGTATGTGACGTTCACTATCATGCACTACATCATAAATTATACATTGCTATTGCACGAAGAATAAAATTTTTGTGTTGCACACGGCTTCACATTCTCAGAGTTTTCCCATTTGACAAAGAATGAGGTTTTTAATTATGCTTTGAATATATGCAGTCTGTAAATGCTTAATGAATCGAGCTACTGAAAAGTAGTAAATGCACTCTGTGAAAAGATTTCTTTGGTTTTAGGAATTTGTATTTGTTGAACCTACTTCATTGTAACTTAAAGCTTCGTTTTGTTTTCTTTTTGGTAATATATATAATTGATAAAATTTAAAATGAATTTAACATATAAACATCGGATTGACAAAATTTGTGAACATTAAAGAAGATTATTAATTTTCTTTAATGTTCACAAAAGAAGAATGTTTCTAACGTCAAATGCGTTTTTACCTGCCACGGGATCTTCTGTTATCCCTTATTATCAAAACAAGGAACCCAGGCATTCACTCGTCGAAACTGGAGAATTGGTGCCGGACAGGGTGTTTCAGAAAGACTGTAGATTTAACAAAGAAATCAAACAGGAAAATTTTTGCCGAGATAATTTTTTCCCTTTGACAAGTTTTAACAAAAAAACCTGATGCAAGCAACACATGACTTCCTGTAAATTATACGCATTTTTTTGCTGCATTTCATTTAAACTTATCAACTCGAATTTCACCAGAGATAGATTTCTCATTCAATTAATTCAGTTCTCTCTTCACGACAAGGCAAAAATACATAAAACCTCAAAATGTTTTTGTTGTTCAGAGGCCGATATTTAGAGTAAAGAAGCCATCGTAGGACAACACACTTAATTTACATGAATAATGATAAAGATATCACACAGGAAATCATACTGAGTATCACACAGCAAATAACATATCAGCATCTCCCTACGCTCGAAGCTCGAATGACGGATGTGTCGGTAGAAGAGACAGCTGCGCCATCATAATTAATACGCATGCGCATAAGAAAAACGTTCGCTCGCCTCTACCCAACAGTTTTCATTAAAACTTGAAAGATATAGCAAAACATAAAACGCCAAATACAGTTAAAACAATTTTAAAAACTTACAATTAAAATTAGATTTTCTACGTAAAAACAAGCAACAAGCAAGCACACAAGAAGGCAGATTTTTCGGTGCAAAAAACTAAAAGTTTTCTTTTGGTCCCACTCGGTAAAACGACGCTGAATGTGCAGAAACCTACTTAATTCACTGTTCTGCTAAGTTTCAAATGTAAACAAATATGTCTGCTATGAAAAAAAAAATTAGGCTTAGTCGTACTTAAACAACTTTTAAATTTTTGATAATTTTACAACTGTTGCATGCAGATTAACTAAAGGCACAAAAACCTTAACCGGAAGATAAGAATAAACATAACTCAGTCCTTTTTAGAGCAAAAAATGCATAATTTACCAGCATATAAGAATAAAAAATCAGGTAAAAGCGCAGAATAGGCTGCATCAACAGAGTTGAGAAGGCGGAGCTGTGTGACGTCCATAAGTGGATACGACTAAGCTTGTGACGTCACAATATATTCTCGAATTTTCACTACGCGTGCTTTCTGTTATCTCTTAAAAATAACAATAATGAATTGTTTATTATTGTAAATTAAATCAGATTCTTTAAATTTACATCTATAACATTTAATCTTAGGCGTTACTGAAAATAAGTTTAATAAATTGTTTATATTTAAAATTACCGTGATACAGTGAACGAATTCTACCAATTATTAAAGCGATAAACAAAGTCGTAGTCTCTAATACTTGTATTTCATACAGCTTCAATATTTTCAAAGATTTTTAAGCTTTAGCATTTGTACATATAAAAAAAGATTTTTTTAAAAATTTAAATTCATATTGTGGAACATTCCAATTTGATTATTTTTACAAATTACCTTATTGCTACGTAACGACAGAATTCCTTACATGCCAGTAATTAGACAATTTTCATTATTTTCTAAAAATTTTACACTTTACAGTAATAAAAAAGAAGAATATTTTTTAATTGCATATGATCATCATTACACAGCTTTCATATCAGATTCTAAAATTCCTAAATCACGTCATATTTTCTGTAGGCATACTAGAATTCTACGCATTAATAAATTTAAAAAAATCTAATTTCTCACAATGAAAGAAAATAATATAAGAAAATAAATACTACAAATTTGGAACACTAAGCAATGCTTCACATACGCACACACACATACACATATTATCAATGACCTCATTACGATACCAAACACTACGTATTAAAATAATGAGGTAAACAGTTACTTATAGGATCAAAGGTTACAGTTTTGCTAGTGTTCAGTAGATCGTCAGATAATCGATATTTATCGTAAGTCGGAAAGCATTATCAACATATTAAATTCAAACAATTAAAAATACAATATAAATAGCAAAAAATATGTCTCAAATATGATTTACATTAACACAACAGTACAAATTTAAAATACACAAAAACATTGCATATAAAAAAAGTTACATTACTGCTAGGCATCACACGCAACCTCGTTTTCCCTTGTACACAACGATTCGTATTCGCTCGAAAAACATCTAAGAATTGCATAAACTCGGTGTCTATGTGCACATCCATCTATTTTCACTTAGAAAACATCAGAGTATTGCACAAACTCGTATTGCGCACAACATCGGCATTGCGCACCACATTGGCTTTGCCCATGTACACATCGATCTATTTTCACTTAAAAAAATCAGAGAATTGCGCAAACACGGCATCGCGCGCAACCTCTGCATTGCGCACCACATTTGCTTTGCCATTTCACACATCGATCTATTTTCGCTTAAAAAAGCATTAGAGAATTGCACAAATTCGGCAGCGCGCAAAACCTCGACATTGCGCCCCACATTGACTTTTCCATGTACACATCGATCTGTTTTCACTTAAAAAACACAGAGAATTGCACAAACTCGACTTCGCGCACAACCTCGGCATTGTGCACCACATTGGCTTTGCGCATGTACACATCGATCTATTTTCACTTAAAAAAAATCAGAGAATTGAACAAACTTGGCATTGCGCACAACCTCGGCATTGCGCACTACATTGGCTTTGCCCGTGTACACATCGATATCTTTTCACTTAAAAAAATCAGAAAATTGCACAAACTCAGCATTGCTCATATACTCAGAAATTTGTTTTCACTTAAAAGAAATCGGAGAATTGCAAAAACTCGCGCAAACCAACTCCATTGATTCGAGTTGTAAAAAAAATGTTTTCAAAAAATTTACACAAAAAAGAAAATAAATAGAATAAAGTAAGTACCGAACATCCAAATTGCCGTATTTGAGAAACACCCAATATTTTACTTAAGTGAATAATAATAAAGGAAACTTACCTTCAGTCTTCTCCTTTTGCACCTCATCACATTCTCCTTCCAGCACACACCCCAACACCACATTCTTCTTCAAGCACCCCCCAACACCACATTCTTCTTCAAGCATAACTCTATGCACATTTCCCTATAAAAACATTTCTAACCTGTCACCATATTTTTAGCAATGTGTAATTTCTATCGTATAAAATCATTCCCGCACTTACCCAACCTCATATAGGTAACTCGCAAAACATCACATATGCTCAATTTACTCTTCGCAAACCACGAGTGCTTTCGAACAGACCTTGTAATTCGATGCTGACAATCGCCTCCAGTAACTCTACACATTCACTCAAAACCATCTATACAACTCTTTTGCTCTACTAATTTCCTTTCAGTTTCACAAATTGAGCATTTATACGAGCTTGCAATCAAACATTTCTCTATACACCACTCAATCAGGCTTCTTTTACCTCTTCGCTCCAATGGATAGAAAAAATCCAGATTCAGATATTCATCCATTCTGCAGTAAGCACCGAATCAGACACACTCATCAATAATCAAAACATTCTTTATGCAAAAGAATTCTTTTCTGTATTTTGAGAAGTTACGGTTGTAATTTTTAAATCGTGCATTCAATATTTTCAATAATATTCAGTCGTTTGGTAATGATCGTTTTTAATCGTTTGATATCTTAATAATACATTTGTGAGAGATAACTCGTTGCGTTAAATGCTAACACTACCACACAACACACAAAAGTAGATTTATAATTAAAAAACTCTCGCTCAGAACATTATAAACCTAACATTTCAACTCAGTTAAAATATAATTTAAGTTTTTTCAACATGAAACTATAGCATACTTATAACTTTCTTTTAAGAAGAGGCGTAACCAATATTACGTCATAAAAAGGTGTGTTTAAGCATAAGACAAGTAAACACCGCATCGACTGATGCAGCCTATTCTGTATTCTGCGATTTAGCCAAAAATCTGGGCTCACTGAGCCGAGTAACAGAGTGGATATATATATATGTACTTTTGGTGTACGCCACGAAAAAAACCTCTCCTGAATTCAGTTTTAATAATTATTATATTATTATTATATTAAATATTAATTATTCATTCCAAGATCAATAAATCTAGCGCACGTCCCGGCAGGGATGCCATTTAGTAAACTTTAAGAACGTTAATTTAAAAATTCTTATGCTTTCAAAATTCTAAGTTCTAAAATTAAGGAAAAAGGTTTTCATTTACCTTTCTTTCTTCTAAAAATTTCGGCCCGGGATGAGCTAGCCTAGATATTATTTCGGAAATCCAGAAGAACATCTCAAAAAGTCTACATCATTCAAGAAGTCTACATCTCCTCCCCCCAAAAAAAAAAATTAATTTTAAATAATTCAGCGTTAAGATACACAGAAAAAC